TTCCATCGCGCGGGCGGGTTTAGCGAGTGTCCGAGATTGGCGCGACGTTGGCTCGCTGGGGAGGGCCGTGCGAGACGTGGTCCTCCTGGCAGTAGGCTTGGCCCGCGATCTCGATGGCGACGGAGAGATGTGTCCCGAGAGGTGTGCTCGTAACTCCTGTTGGTCATGCTGTTCATGTTGGCATGCCTGGTCTAGGGCATAGTCACGTAATCGACGTGGTGTACATGATGTAGGTGTCCATGAATGTACATGGTGAGTGAGTTCTGAAATGCGCCTGCCTGCCGGCCATGCTCGTCAAAAATGTCGTGCTGCGTGATCTGTGAGGGGGAAGGTAGTTTGGCACGCGATACATGTGTTATCAATCTGAAGCGTGGTGGCAGCCGATCGCAACCCATGTCCCTGGCCCCTGGATTTGGTTTGATGAGTCGCGGGCTGCTTGAGCGTTCCGAACCGTTTCCTTCGCATGTTGATGTTGCGCGCGAAAGGGCAACTCGTTCCGGCGTCGGTGTCCGTCTCATCGCACGTCGCCGCTGAGGGGGGGAGGGGCTGGTAATGCTGTTTTTCAAGAGGGGCCGATTGCGACGTCCAATATGAAGACCGGAGGGTTCGAATATCACACAACAAGAAAGCCTCGCGGACCCAGTCATCTTCCCATAGGTGATCTACGACTCGAGGATGCCGCGCTTCCTGGAAACTCTCGCCTATCGAATGGGGGGCCAGGCGCAGTGGATCGTCCGCGAGCTGCTTTGCCCGCGGGTGCGCGCTCGGGTCAGTCGAGATCTCGCCCTGCGTATTGAGGGTGCCAGCGCTGACGGGGCGGTTGCTCATGGCCGCCTGCTGCTCGAACTTGCATCTGCCAAACAACGAGGCGAGAAATAAACCATGGTGGTCGGGTGATCTGCTAGTACTGTGCCACCAGCTTAGCCTGCGCACGAGAAGGTGAATAGCCGATGGAGCGATCTGCCACTCGATAAAAAGCTGACGGGTAGTCAGTGACCGATGTAGACGCTGCTCACCCTCCTTTTGCGCGGCGCCTCTCATCATAGCCCGTAATGTACGTGCAAGTGAACTAACTGTTTAGTCGATGGAGCTCCCTGGGAGTCAACGCGTAGCTCGAGGCCTGACCAGATACGCCCCGCAACGTTGGACACACATTATGGTCGTTTTGCCTGCCATGGGGCTTCCAGAGAACCAGTGGTCCCGAAGTCTGCGCCATCCTACTTGCCCAGATTGGATTCGGGCCTCGACTTCGCGACGGGTATTGTTGGCGACGTGTGCGTATCCTCCGAGATGGATCAGGTCCTGGACCGCGTGCCCCGAGATGTTCCTTTCGGCGTCCTTGGTGGCCCCGTGCGTGCCCAGAGAGACCAGGGTGTCCTGCTTACTGACGATCTTCTAAGCATAGCCGCCAGCCTCCAGGGCCTTCGAGAGCGTGTTGTTGTTGATCTGATCAATCTGCAACGCTTCTAAGGCCGTGCCGTCGGGCGCCCGTATAACTTTAAAGGAAGCGTCAGTGAACGCGCCGATGCGCGCGTCGAGCGATGCGGCGGAAGACGGGCGCTGGACCTGAAACGGGATTCCCTGGACTTCGGCCATCTCCTGACACCATTGAGAAGCCAAAGGGTAAACAGACTCCATGACAAGTTCGGGTTCGTTTGAATTTCCCATCCTTCCCCCCGTCCTTGGCTGAAGGGCAGTGCTGGCGTCGGGCGGCTTGAGATGCGCGGCTGCATTACCACGGTGCTGCTCAAACAAAGGTTGGAAGTGTTCGTCATCACACCGAACTGTGTGTGCTGCCACCAATCGCACATGGGCTCCCGTGGCAAATGCATTGCGCATGTCATAAGACTTCGCTAGGAAAGAGAGACGGACTGCTCGCAAGTTCCAAATGAAAAGCTTCGCAATGGGCATCGAAGACTCGCGGCGGCGCGCGCGCGCCCCCCCCCCCCCGCGTGCCCATGGCGGTGGCGTGTAGGGGGCTCCGTACTGGACACGGCCTACTCTAAGATGCAGTCTCCAAAACTGATCGAAGCAATGTAATGGGCGTGCGCGTGAATGGTTATCCTGAATCGCGTTGCCAGTGGGGCTCCTGCCCTTCTTGCCTATGGCCGCCGCCTGGCTGGTGAAGGCCTGGGCAGGACATGGGCCGCGTCGGTGGGCGCGGGCTGGCAGAATCGCAAAAGCCCGGGTGATGGCGTGGCGAACGTCGCGTTCGATCGCGAGCATCCGCTGCTTGGGCTGGCGCGCCCGCGTGGCAAGTGGGTCGGCGTGGCGGTGGCCGGTGGTGGCGTGGCCCAGTCCCGCTCGTTGTGCTCCTGGTCGTGTCAAGTACTGCGGGTGCAAGAGCATGGTGTGAGCTCGATTGGCCAGGCCCATAGTGGGTTATATCTTTGCGCTCCTCTTCCCATAGTCGGCGCTGGATGCATTCGAACTCCTCAATTGCTGCTTCAAGGTATGGAAGCTCAAGCGCGCCCGTGTACTCGCCTACTGGAGTGAGGTCGTCGGGGCGGGTTATCATCCGTGGCGCGGCGGTGGGGTCGTCGATGTGCAAACTTGCGTACGCGGGTGTGGCCGTGAGTCCTCAGTGCGTAGCTTGTTGTGGGCGGCCGTGTGCTCCGCCGCCGTGGGCCTGGTCGATGGGGGGTGCCAAGTATGATCGTCTACGTGGCCCCGTGCGGCGTCCTGCGCGTAGGTGCGCGATGTCTGCTATGCGTGATCGGTCCCTAGCTACCCACGCGTCGCGGATGTCCTGGTCGAGGCTGGCATCCATCGCTGGTGTGCGCGTAGTTTGTGTTGGATGTTGCTCGGGGCTTCGTGGTCGAAACGTAGCTGTCGTGCTCGGTAGTCGGCTCGATGTCTGAGAAGCTGGAGTCGGTCCAATCGTGCTTGCTTGTGCCGGCGTGTGTCCTCCGTCTTTGGTGTAGTACTTGCTGCCGCTTTCGCGGGTGTTGTGGGCGAGTAGGGCGCCGTGTCGTGTCGGGAAAAGGTCCATCTTGATTGCTCGGAAGATCCCCTTGTGATTGGTGATCGCCGTGGCGACGTCGGTGAGGAAGGCTTCGCGATTGGCGCCTGTCTGGAGACCTGCGGCAAGGAGGCCGAAGTCCCAGCGGATGTTGCTGTCGGTCGGAGTGGCACCGCTGATCGGCAGCCTGACCTGCATGATCATCGGGATGTGGTCGGCAGCATGGAGTAGGCACCGCAGTTTGCTGTGGATCTTCCAGTTCAGCTTGGCGTACTTGATGATTTCCATGATGTTGCCGTGGCCTATGACCTCATCGACTCGGGATCGTAATTGTTTGGGTCCGTAGTGCGTGTTGCCGACATCCATGTGTGTGTGTTGATGGCCGTGAGGTCGTGAGTGAGAAGCTGGTCATGGACGTAGCGGCCGAACTCGGACTCGTCGCTGGCGTGGTGGCGTCCAGCCGCGGCGTCAGTGTGGAGTTGGCGTGTCCGTCGTCCCAGTCCTTGGTTGAGGTCCGTGAACAAGATTGGTGTGACTCGCGTGGGTGTCCGTCATACAGTCGAGTGCCCATGTGCATAGTCGGCGGCACCCTATTTTCCATGAGTGATGTTGGCCTGCTCCGCTCGGCCGAGGTGGGGAAATATGCCGTAATAGGCCGTAGTCGGAGTGGCCCTCGGTGGATTTCAATGGCCCCCGCTCGCCCTCGAAAGTCGATCTGCGGTGGGTGGAGAATCTTGACAATGTCCGTCCGTCGAAAATGGAGTTTGGCAATTGCGATGCTGTCGCCTGCCGAGCTGTTGGTGTGGGCCCCGCGGCCCCATCCGAAATGCACCCAGGTATGGTGAATGCTGTCGTCGACCTGGTGTGGTGCATCGGCGGTGCGCTGGCGTATCTTCGTGCCGACGCACAGGATGGCCTGCATGGATCTGCATGTGTCCGACATGTGATCCAAGCGGCCAGGTATGCCCTTAAATGAGAAAGGATTCCATCCCATCATAGTAATCGGGTTGATCGTCGTCTGGTGGGGTCGGACGTCGAGGTCGGAAGGGCGTGGTGGTGGATCGTTGTGTGGCAGAGTTGGGGTGGGCGTGGTGGCTGGGTGTGGTGGTGGTGGTGCCGTCGTGGTGGCGCGACATTGATCAAGTGCTGGTTCCTCTTCGGCTCCCCGTGGATCGTGAAATGCGTGCTCTGCGTTATGAAATTCATCCCAGTGTGATCGTCCTCTGGGTCCCTGTAGAGCATGATGTTGGTCGGATGCGAGTCCGCCTTTGGGTCTGCGTGGTTCGTGAAAGAGACCTTCGGGAGCTGCTTGTAGTAGTTGTGGTGGTAGCGGTGGAGGATGCCGTAGTGCGAGATGGCCGTACTTTGGGACTCGTTTTGCACGTGCTCGTGTTAGAGGTGGTACGTCCAGTGCTCCCTGATCGGCATGCTCACCTGGCTGAGGTGCAGGTGCTGGTGGCGGCGTGATAGTCTGCGTGCGCTCGGCCATTTTCGAGCTGGCGGGCATCCTCTCAGTGCTCGGCAGGTGCGCGGCGCCCGCGCACCGGAGTACGGCCAAGCGACATGGCGGCGTGCGGGGTGTCTTCAGGGGGCCCTCCGCGTCTGGACACGGCGGGGGAGGGCGCTGACTGGAGGCCGCTGCTCCTTCACGGCCTGAGCGCGCGGCGGCCCTTGATGATACTGATGCTGCTGCTGATGATGATGATAATGATGATGCTGATGCTGATGATGCTGATGATCATGCTTATGCTGATGATGATGGTGCTGGTGATGATGACGCTGATTGATGATTCCCCTCCGGTGGCGCGAGAATCGGCAACGCTTGGCCCACATGGCCGTGCGGCCCACACCTGCAGCAGGGGTGGCTGCTACGCGACCGACACGATGAAGCTGCACGAGACCTCAGCGCAGCAGGTAACGAGGGAACCCACGCTACGACTAGCGAGCAGCCTCCCCTGACGCCTGCTGTTTGAGAGTCCAGCAATGGCCTTGATGATGATGCTAATGATAATGACGGTGATGAGGGTGATGGTGATGAAAGCTTCCCGGCAAGCACAGCCTGGCCCAAACATAAGAGAACACTGGGCTCCCACAATCGTGCCCTGAACCGGCGCACGCGCGAGATGAGCTGAGGTGTAGGTGATGGGGGGGATGAGCGGGCCAGGAATCTTTGTTCTCTCGAAAAGTAAACCAGGTGCCCGCAGAGCGGGGAAGCTGTCCTCGTACACCCTGGAGGGAGTGGCGATGCCCTCCAAGGGTAACAAAAACCTGTACACAACATGAGGGGCTTGAGGAGGACGATGACGGTACGCGCATACAGCGGCTCCATGGCTTTGGCCCGAACGCTGTGCAAAAGCAATCCCACCGATTGCTGCATCGACCGCCAAAGTAGACGCAATTCTAACGGTCACCGCAACCTCTTCCAGAGCGGGCGTGTCATGCGTGGCACGATAAATACCCCAATGGAAGATGGGTCACAGGGGGGAGGAGGAGGAGGAGGAGGAGGAGGAGGAGGAGAAGGAGGAGGAGGAGGAAGAGGAGGAGGAGGAGGAGGAGGACACGGAAAAGGTGGATGACTGGGTTTCCAGGGCCCGATGGCCTGCCTGCCCTGCGGTGGCAAGAAACGAAGCCGCAACCAGCCGTCGAGGCCCGGCCAGCTCACTCGTCTGTGCATCGGAAGCTGGGCAGCGAATCGGCATGCACAGTGTCGGGAGGACGGAGGAGGATGAAGAGGAGGAGGCGGAGGAGAAGGAAGAGGATGAGGCGGGGGAGGAGGCGGAGGAGGAGGAGGAAGAGGAGGAGGAACACCACTGATGTAAGCCCAAGACGCATCAACGATGTTGCACTAAACCCCTCCTCCAAATTCCCTCTTCACGGGTCTCTACAATACTATATCTTGTTTTCGGGAAGTGGCCCATTAGAAGGCAACAGCGTGAAAATCCACAATCGTACCAAAGCGCCAATCCTGGGACTTCAACGCCGCAGATCTACGTGACTATTGCGTCCTGGCGATCCTGATTCGCACCAAAACGCCCTTCTTGGGACGTCAACGCCGCGGATCAACGTGACTGCTGTGTCCTGATAACCCGAAGCCGTGTCAGACACGAATCCTGGGACTTCAACCCTACGAACCTTGAAAACAGTCGCAACCTTTTCGGACGAATGTGCGCGGCGCTGAAGCGAGAGGCCCGTTTGGAAAAGGAGAGGCCTCCATGCTAGAAGCCGCTGCAAACATCTAGAACGAATCTGCGCGGCGTTGACGCGTGAGACACGTCTTGAAAACCAACCGCCCACCATCTGTGAAAATTTGGCAGACGTTCAAAACGAATGTGCGAGGCGCTATGGCGAGAACCACATTGTCAAAACCACCTGCCCTTCATCCGTAAACATGCTGCACAGATTTTAGACGAATGTGCGCGGGGCTGAAGCGAGACCGCATTTTTAAGACCTCCCGCTCACCATCCGTGAAGCTGGTGTAAACTACCCATTTCAAGATTATGAATGGTGAAGAAGCGTAAAGCGAAACACCCGACCGGCCCTACCGACACGTATGAGGGGGTGCGACAGGAAGGATTCTCTGTAAGGAAAAGCGAAGAAGAAGGAGGACCAGTGTAAACCCAAGGCGCATCAACGATGTTGCAATTCCTCTCTCCAAATTCCCTCTCGTTAGGGCCCTACAAGAATGCGTTTTCATTGTGGGAAATGCCCCTTTGGACCAGACCCGTCTAAAAATCTTCAAACGTGCTAAAACATCATTCCTGGGATTTCAACGCCGCGAATCGACGTGTCTGTTGCGTCCTGACAGCTCTAAACCATGCCATAACGCAACTCTAGGAACTTCACCGCCGCGAATCAACGCGACAATTGCGTCCTGACAGTTCAAAATTTGGTGACAAACAGCAATTTCCGGGACTTTAGCGTACCAATCCTTGAATATGCTGCAACATTTTCAGACGAATGTGTGCGGCGTTGGAGCGAGGGCCACATGTTGGAATGGAACACCACTTCACCTTGAAGCAGTTACGACTTTTTAAAGACGGACGTGCAACACGGTGAAACGAAAAACACATTTTAAAGAGGACACCTCCTCCATCCTTGACGCTGTTGCAAGCGTTCAAAACTCATGTTCGCGGCGCTAATATGACAGGCACACTTAGGGCAACACCCGCACAACATCTGTGCAACTGTTGCAGGCCTCAAGATTCAGGATGACAAGTGGTGACGAAGTCTGGGCGAAACGCGCGGCCTGCCCCATCGACACGTTTCGGCGTGCGAAAGGGAGGCGTTAGTTATGAGGAAAATGAATGGTGGAGGAGGACGAGGAAGAGGAGGAGGAGGAGGAGGAGGAGGAGGAGGAGGAGGAGGAGGAGGAGGAGGAGGAGGAGGAGGAGGAGGAGGAGAAGCAGAAACGAGGGGGGAGGAGAAAAAGGGGGGGGAAGCAAGGGGAGATCCGAGCTCCCTGCGGCGTCTGAAAACTACTGTCGCGAATCATGACGTCATTTGCAGTTGTCGGAGGACACGGGGCCCGTTCAAACGAAAACAACTACCCGCTGCTCCCCTGGCTTGGCTCGGAGGAGGTTCGACCTCTGAGCGGGGGGTGGGCAGACTGCAGCACGATGGCGGGTCTTTCAAAATTGGCGGCGCCACTCAACCACCACGGCAGCAGCCCAACAACAGCACCGCCCGCATCATCATGATCAAATAGGCAGTGTCGCGGTCGAAGCTCCGCTGGGAGGATGCGCCAGCTTCCCAACTGATGGGATGGGGGCTTCGGTACAATGCCTGAGCTACTGGGGTTGAAGAGGTGGACAAGGAGGAGTCAAAGCTTAGAAAAGCATTCCAGGTGATAATGATGAGGAGGAAAAGGAGGAGGAGGAGGAGGAGGAGGAGGAAGGGATGCAGGAGCGAACCTAGAGGCGGAAGAGGTCTATGAATGGCCGTGGGTTGTGAGCCACCCGGTCCAATCGTTGGGCGCACGAGCACTGGCCTGATGCAAGGGACGGGGAAGGAGCGAAGGAGGAGAGGAGAAGAGGAGAAGAGGAAGTGCCACGGCATCACCATCATCATCATCATCATCATCATCATCATCATCATCATCATCATCATCATCATCATTACCATCATTACCATCGGCGCACGAGCACTGGCCTGATGCAAGGGACGGGGAAGGAGCGAAGGAGGAGAGGAGAAGAGGAGAAGAGGAAGTGCCACGGCATCACCATCATCATCATCATCATCATCATCATCATCATCATCATCATCATCATCATCATCATCATCATCATCATCATCATCATCATCATCATTACCGTCATTACCATCATTACCATCATTACCATCATTACCATCATTACCATCATTACCATCATCATCATCATCATCAGCATAGCCACCATAGTCGTAATCATGATCATCATCAGCATCAGCATCATCAGCAACGTCGTCATCATCATCTTCATCATCATCATTGTCATCATCATAATAACCACCCACATCGCCATCACCATCATTATCACCATCGTCATCATCACCATCGTAATCACCATCATTACCACAATCATCGTCATCATCATCATCATCATCATCATCATCGTCATCACCATTATCATTATCATTATCACCACCATCACCACCATAACTTAAACACCACCATCACCAACACGATCACCATCACCGCCTCCATCCTCATCCTCATCTTCTTCATCAACATCATTATACTTAAGAACAACATCTATATCATCATCAACATCATCATCATCACCATCACCATCACTATCACCATCACCATCACCATCACCATCACCATCATCATCATCATCATCATCATCATCATCATCATCATCATCATCATCATCATCATCATCATCATCATCATCATCATCATCATCGCAATCATCATCATCGCAATCATCATCATCATCGCTGCCGGGAAAATCGGAGGCCAAATGTCAGCGCACCTACTACAACACGGCGTCGAGCTCGGCAAGCGACCTGGACACCCTCTGGAAGCCGTCGCGGAGCTCCGGCTCCGTGATGACCAGTGGCGGCGTGCAGTGGAGCAGGGGCGGGCGGAACATGCCCATGATGCCGTTGCGCACCAGCGCCTGCTTCAGCGTCTGCACGGCCGGCGTGAAAGGCGCGCCGAGCTGTTGGATGGCCCTGCCGTCTTTCCCCTGCAGGTCGAGGCATCCGAAGAGCCCGATGGCCCGGCCAGCCTTCACGGAGCGGTGCCTCTCTACGATGCTGTTGATCTCCTCCATCATGATCGGCTCCAGAGCCTTCGCCCGCTGGGGGAGCTTCTGCTCGATCAAATACTTCACGCTCTCGTAGGCGCACGCCATTGCCACTGGGTGCGCATGGTACGTCGCCCCCCAGCCCAGGGGGTTGTCGTTGAAGTAACGCTTGATGTGGTCACGGACGCCGACCATGGAGAGCGGCAACATGGCACCTGTGAGGCCCTTGGCCGAAGTCACTATGTCCGGGAGCACGTTTTCGAAGTGCTGAAACGCGAACATCTCGCCAGTGCGTCCGAAGCCCGCCATGACCTCGTCCGCAATGAGCAGTATTTCGTACTTGTCGCAGAGCGCTCTGACGCCCTCCATGTAGCCAACAGGGGGCACCAGGACGCCACCAGAGCCAACGATGGACTCGAGCATCAAAGCAGCGATGGTCTCTGGGCCCTCTACGAGGATCTGCTCCTCCAGCACTTTCAGGCTCATCTCGGCGACCTCCTCGTCTGTCTTCCCCCAGGAGAAGCCCAGTGGCTGCGGGTTGAAGAACTTGACGAAACCGTTGACGGAGCCCTCACTGAAGGCCCTGCGAAAATCACCAGTGGCACCAAGGGTTGTGGAGGAGCCTCCGTGGTAGCTCCGGTACTGATTCAGGATCTTGTGCCTCTTGGTATAGCGACGCGCGATGCGGATGGCTGCCTCGTTGGCCTCGGAGCCCCCGCAAGGGAACAAGAACCCGGTGATGTCGCCGGGCGTCAGCTCGGCCATCAGCTTGGACAAGCGCGCCCTCACCGGCACCATCCCCATCCCGCTGTACAGGTAGGGCACCTCCTGCATCTGCTTCTGCACGGCCTGCATCACGACCGGCGGCACGTCGTGGCCGAAGTTGCTGCACACGGCCTGGCTGGTCCAGTCCAGGTACGCCCTCCCCTCGCTGTCGTAGAGGTAGATGCCCTTCGCGTCCACGATGGTGGGCAGGCCCTTCGCGGGCCCCGACGGCCCCCACGAGAGCATGACGTGGTCCTCCACGGCGCTCTGGAGGTCGCTGGCGCTCCACGAGCCCTTCCAGTGCGCCAGCGACGCGCCCTGCGGCTCCTCCACGTCCCCGAGCTTCGGCAAGGGCGGGTGCTCGTCTGGGCGGTACTTCGCGTTGACGTTGGGGAAGCCCGCCGCGCCGCCCGTGCGACTGAGCTCCGGGAAATGCCTCGTCCTGGGCACGCTCGGCCGAGGCGCCAGGTCTGGCCCGCGTCGGATGCCGCTGCCCTGGGCGAAGCCGCGGGTGGACCTCCTGGGCAGCGCGGCGGCCTTGCGGGAGAGGCCGGACGCCATCTCGCGTCTGGGACGGACAGATGTTCTCTCAATCGCTGGGCGGTCGGGCCTGGGCCTCGTCCAAACAGGCTTGAGCCAAAACGGCTGGGGAACACGTGCGATATGATGAAGAGGAGGAGGAGAAGGAGGAGGAGGAGGAGGAGGAGGAGGAGGAGGAGGAGGAGGAGGAGGAGGAGGAGGAGGAGGAGGATGGATGGAGGATGATGATGATGGCAGGATGAGGGGGATGATCTAGTAGAAGTCGATCGGCTTGTGGGCGTCAGCCCCTCAAAGCGGGGCCACGTTTGGTGACCCACCCATAACGCGGTGGCAGCCAGGCTCCACCGCGGGATCAAGGAGAATTCCCGATCGTGCCCGACGATCCTATTTGCTGGGGAGCGTGCCCAAAGCGTCCGATCTTGTATGTTCTAGCGCCCCAGAAGCCCTGTGTTGACCTGCAGGGGATTAGCCAGGGAAGATCGACTGGGGGAACTTTTAACGTGAACCGACTGAGGTTGGCGCCCACCTCCAGGATCAATGGAGCAATGGGCATCCCGACCTGAGGGCACGAAGTGGCGCGTGGTGCTCGCGAGCGGCATTTGTCTTACTCGCGCGCGCGCGCGCCCTTGCAAACCGCAGCGGGCCCACAACATTGAAGAATCCATGGCAAGTCAGACCTTCGGTGAGCCCCGCAGCAGGGCAAGGCGGGGGCCCCGAAGAGGCCGAGAGTGGCACGACGAGTGCAAAGAACTCCCAGGCTATGATCTTGCATCGCTTTCTGCATTGCCGGGGCCTGGGAACCCGTCGAGAACACTATCAGGCAGGACCCAGGACCGGCCAACTCTTGGAGACGCTACCCCGCCTGGGGGCTCGCCTTCCAGGACCTGACGCCTGCGACACTTCCGCCGCCGCCGCCGCCGTCCCCGGCGCCGACCCCGACGCCGCGCCTGCAGTGGCGCCCGGCGCCATCAGCTGCAGTGCTGTGGTCACCGTGCGTGCGGACGGCGGGCTGCGGCAGCTGGCCGCGCCGTCCGACGGGTGCCAGGCCGACGCCTCCCCCTACGCCATTTTCTCCTGCGGGCTGGGCAATCCGCCTGCGGGGAAGTCTTAGGTCGGGCGTGTCCCCCTTACAGGCGGATCTTGGAGGAAACGTGAACAAAAACTGAAACATGTACAAGAGTAGTCAAACATAAAATGCAAAATCGTCCCCAGACTGTAGAGGGACACGTCCGACTTAAGGCCCCTGCCTTGGGGCAGTCTGTCGACCGCGGTGGCATGACCTTCGGGACGACGACATGGAGCCCACCTCCACCGCCGGCCCTTTACCCCTGCCCGCGTCTACTTCGCTCGTGTCCGCGGTGGCGGCCGGCCCCCTTGTCCCTTCCAGTGCTCACGACACCATGACGGCCCGCCCCACGTCCGCCCCCAGCGGTGGTCAGGATGGCTCGCGCACGCGCCACCGCGACGAGAATGCATTGACGCCATCATCCTCGCCAGCGCAGTGCCTGCTTCCTCGTCGCCGCAGCCTGGGCCACCGGCGCCATCGTTCTCGCCAGCGGGGCCGAGAACCTCGACAGCATCCTCGGCAACGCGGCCTGGATCGACGACGCCATCATCCTCGCCAGCGCAGTCGAGAGCATCGACGCCAGCGGCCTCGGCAGCGCTGCCTGGACCACGGGCGCCATCATGCCCTCTGGTGCAGCCGAGAGCTCCGGAATCAGCACTCTCGCCAGCACAGCCTGGGTCAACGACACGTGCACCCTCGCCAGCACCCTGGCCAGCACTGCCAAGAGCTCCGAAGGCAGCATCCTGGTCAGCACAGTCTGAAGCACGTCCTCGCCATCATCTTCGTCAGCGTCTTCGGGAGCACCGGCGCCATGACAGGCGAAGGACGCTGGCGCTGCCGCTGCGAAGGCGGCGACTCCAGGCTGCGGCGGCGAGCTGCGAAGCGGCAAGACAGTAAAACTCTACGGGTTCGCGTCCTCGGCATTGGAAAGCCTAGAAGGCAGGTTGGTGAGTCGGCTACACGCAAGCGTGACCCTAGGCAAGAGTGACCTTTGGTGCGCGGACCAAGGGGGCGCAAGGTGGCCAAATCCAAGCGCGCAAGCAACCGCGATGGCATCGCCGCTATCGCATCGCGCTCAGCGATCTGGGGGACCCCGATGAGCCCGCACCAAAGGTCACTCTGGCGAAGGGTCACTCTTACGTGCAGTCGAGGGAGGTACTTTGAAGCGAAGGGGTTCTGGCAAGTGTATCTGGAGGGAACGAGTACTGCCCAGGCCGTGAAGCCAGAGAACCTGGAGCCGACGGGGGCGCTGGTGGTGGTCTGGAGGGTATCCTCGCCAGCGCATTCGAGAGCCTCGGCTCCAGCATCCTCGTCAACACTGCCTCGATTACCAGCGCCACCCTCCTTGCCAGCGCTGCCGAGACCGCCGGAGGCTGCATCCTCGTCGGCACGGCTCGGATCTGCGTCGCCTGTAGCCTGGTCGGCGCCCTCCTCCGCCCTCTGCAGCTCCGACGCGTCCGGCGGTTGCAAGGCTGACACCTCTTGCCGTGCCACTCCCTCCTGCGGGCTGGGCAATCCGCCCGCAAGAGCGGGCGGTGCCGCCCGCTTCCCCGCGGCGGGCAGGTCCCAGGCGGGCAGGTTGGATGTCGGCCGTGGCGGCGCTCCAGCGTTTGGCGG